CAAGTTTCCCTCTTCACTGCACTGCAAATGGGGGATTCCTGTTGGTGTTGAGTTGGTTCTGACGACCATTTGTTGACATGGGTATCCGGGGACAGATCCCCAGAATTTGCTGTCCCGACAAGGGATGGAAACGCAAATGAGTACAGAGCCTGATAGAAAGAGATCAATGTCACGCTAAGTGGAGAGGAACTAAGAAGGGGGAGAGGCGAGAGGGAGGGGGAATCTGGAAGGCCATCATGGAGGAGGAGGAGGTGGCAACATTTGAACTTGGCCTTGGGGTGGAGTAAGCAGCTGATGCAGTGGAACAGTGGGGAGGGTGGGCACTCCTGGAGGAGCAGCGGCTTGGGCAAAGGCAGGGAGGCAGAAACTATGGAGCACAGGTGAGGCTTCTCTTAGGAGAAGCAGGAAATTAGGGCCCAGACGGAGAAGTTTGCCCCCATCCTGAGATCCATGCAGGCTGCCGTTGAAAGTGGGGGCCTGCTTGGATCTGGAATTTTCCTGAATTCCATTACGGTGAAAAGTGCAGAAAGTGGCAGTTCTCCAGATGAGCTCATGTGGAGGTGGGAGTAAACAGCGGTCTCCATGGCAACTGTGGGGCCTGGTTTGGGATGTCCAGCTGCCCCTCTGAGAGCTGGAGGCCTGCCCTGAGGAGCGCCGCGGCCACTCCTCATTCCTCGACCATGACTCGAACCCACAGTGGCAGCAGGAGCTGCTGGCCGCAGGGAACCCCTTATGAAGCCCAGAACTGGGGCAGCCAGGGTTCCCGAGAACGCCTCAGACCGTGAGGCGGGAGGCCCCATGGAGCACCCAGTCTTACCCGCTCAACCTCCGCAAAGTCATGGGCTCCTACTGAGGGCCAGCAGCACACAGCTCAGCTTCTGCCACTCAAGTGGGTGCAGGATGCAGGGTGCAGCGAGGAAGCCGTGAGCGAGGCTGGGCCCCCCAAGGGAGGCAGGGACGGTCAGGCGCTGTCCAGATGTCTTGCTTCTTCTACAAGGAAATGGCCTTGAAGATGCCACCTGGCCCCGACCTCAGTCCCCAGTGCCTGCCTCGGCCTCCCAGCCCAGTGTGCCCGGAAGGTTCTGCGTCCACTCGGCTCCTCCCGAGGCTCTGCCCTCTCCACCAGCCTCCTGGGAAGCTCAGACTTCAGGAACTCGGTGGTGAGGAGGGCAAAGTAAGAAGAATCCCATCCTGGAGACCAAGACCTGAGATCGGGCCTCTAGTAGCTGGGGCCTGGGGCTCCTTATTTGGGCCCTCCAAGCCTCCGTTTCCCCACCTGTATCAAGATAGACCCTCCTTCCTAAGATGGTGGTGGAGATCCAAGGGGAAGGGACACTGAGCACAGGACCTGGCTCTCAGGCATGTGTTCCGTGAGTAACTGGCTCCACTGTTACCACGGACGGCTCTTATCCGGCCTCCCAGGGGACAGATGTCCAGGGCTGACATCTAGGACCTGCTCTTGGCTGTTCAGACAAATGCCCTCCAATCAATTTTATGTTTACAATGAATCAGTTATGATTGTTCCCAGGTCTTTCTTATGCTAGGGGTGCTTGATGCTATAATGCACGATTTAATTAAATATGTAAACCAGCAGGCCTCAAACTTTAAGTATCAAGATGGCTTTATACTCATAAAAATTATTGAAGAGCCCAAAGAGCTTTTGTTTGTCGTTTACATCCACCAACACTATATTCTAAAGGAAAGCTGAGACTTGAAAGCCTACGAATGCACAAGCACATGCTCCATCCGCGGTCAGAGGGGGCTGTGTTCACTGGAAACTGTCCCCCGGAGACTGGCAAGGGAAGGAGCACGTGAAGGGTGAATGACATTGTGTCCTAAAAATAGCTGTGACATCTCCTCAAAGATCTCAAGGGTCCCAGCATCCCTGGACCACCGTCTGAGAACACTGCCGTAAACCGACGAGCTGCTCTCCGAAAACCAGGTCTGGAAGGTCCGAGTGCAGAGGAAGGGGAAACGCGGGAGCAGACCGCGCAGCCACGGAGGCCGCCCCAGATGGCTTCGCAGGTGGCTTCCACTCTCATGCCCTCCAAGAACCAGGGCCCCGAAACCAAAACCGCCGCGGCCGCCTCGGAGGTGCCCCAGAATCCCCTACCTGCAGACTCGCATTCAGGGAAGAGGCCACAGCCCTTTCAGCAAAAGACAAATTAAGGAACCTTAACTATTTTACGATAAAATGTTTAAGAAATGTACATGTGGTTAGGTAGGATTTCCCCAGTTTTTCAACTTGCCCAATTTATAATTACAGATGCTTTGGGAACGCTGGGGGCCCATCCTGTCCCACCAGGGACACCAGCTCCCAGCCTGATCTTTACCTTTGACCTCCCCCTACTCCCCTCCCGCCACCCCGCACCCCTCCCCCATTTCCTCCCCAGTCAGCACTGCTTAAATACCTGGTGAGACAGCCAGCCCCGGAACCAGAGAATGAGCAAATGAACCACCCCAACCCCACCCCACCCCACTGCCTGACCCAGTGCCTTGAGCAAAATAGGTGTTCAGAAAATATTTGCCAAAATATTACATTGTGACTCTATGTGCATTTTTCTACCTGGAGTGTGTCCCCTCGGGCAAGGCTGAGCCCAGGGGCAGGCTGCCCACTTCTGATGTGGCTGCCCGGGGGCTGACCGGGCAGATCAGCAAATGAAGCCACGGAGGGGAGCCCGGGTGCCACCAGGGGGAACAACTGGGGACAGGGAGGGGCTTCAGGAGCAGAGACAGAGCCCAGGGCACGGAGCTGAGTCCAGCTTGGGACCATCAGGCATGACCCAAGAAAGGGAGGTTGGAGGTCAGCCTTCCAAAGCCACCCCCAGGTCGTGAGGCTGGGGCCGAAGGTCACTGGCTCCCCCGAGGCTCTCGCTGACCGAAAACATTCTATTTGTGTAGCTTTCACAAGCTGCTCCCTTAGAATAGTGACTGACGCAAAGGCAGCTGGACTTCAGAAGTTCAAAAGAGCCCACGTGGTTGATGTGGGTTTCCTGGAGAACTAAGAAAGTAACTTAAAAAATAAATAAATAAAAAACTTGTGAGCACTCAAGAGTCATTTCTACCCAGAGATGGAGAAATAGTCCTATGGGGGGGCGGGGGCACGCTGACTCACTGGGGAGAAACAAGCAAAGGAATGACTTGCCATTTGAATTTGAAAGAAAGGTGGGTCTCTCAGCCTGTCTCCCCGCACCCCGTCCCAAGCACCCCAGTGGCAGGACCCTGCCTGGACGGGAGGGCGCACCACCTCAGGACAGCTGTGTCCGGAAGCTTACTCCTCTGCAAAGCGGCTGCCCGCCCACCCGACCTGCTTGGGCCCTTTGGCCGCAGCCACAGGGGATAGGCCAGTGGGCGCCCCCTCTGGCCCCCGTCCCGGACCATCTGACCAGCTCTCTGGACCACCCTCCAATGGCTGGCTGAATAACGGCCCTGCAAGATGCACACACCCTAAACCCAAACCCTGCCAAGACGTCACCTTACACAGCAAAAGGGGCTTCACCGCTGTGATCTGGAGATGCTGAGATGACCCCGTGTCGTCCGGTGGACCCAGAGCAAGCACAGGGGCCTTCCCGAGAGGCAGGAGGGTGTGAGTCACAGAGAGATGTGGAGACACTGCCCTTCGAAGGTGGAGGGGCCGCAAGCCAAGGACTGTGGCGACCTCCAGAGGCCGGAAAGAGCGAGGACCTGGATCCTCCCCAAGCCTCCTGAGGGAAGCAGCCTGCCCGCACCTGGCCTAGCTGCGCGAGGCAGGCGCTGGGTTTCTGACCCCCAGGACTGTGAAGCGATTCTCTTGTTTTAAGCCGCTCGGTTTGCGGGGACTTGTTACAGCAGCCACGGGACACTAATGCGGCTCCGCAGGCTGGCTGCCATCCCAGAGGCTGGGGCTGCCTGCTCCCCGGGCTTGCCTCTCCCTGCTGCTCCTCGGAGAGGCCCGCTCCCCACCCCCCCCACCCACGGCGAGGTTCTGGGAAACTGTCACCTTCCCGCGGGTCCCACCAGGCTCCCAGGGCATGAGACCACTGGAGCAATGGAACAACACCTGCCTGCACACGGCGGCACCTCTCTCCCTGCAGGCTGGGGCCCGACAGCCCCCACCAGGAGCCGGCCTTTGCTCCAGTCCCCACAGGGCCATCTGGGGGGAGGTCATTGCGAGGGGGTCGATACTCAGACACAGGTGATCTTCAGCACCGTTCAAGCAGGTCCCCGAGTTGGGCGTGGGGTGGCCACACAGCAGAGAGGGACAGGGAATCAACCCTCAAGGCTCGCCCGTCTATCTGCCCGCGTCGCCCCCACCCCCTTGCTCCTCCCGACACAGTCTTTTCTCCGCTAAGCAAAGCTGCTCCTGGCTTTGTCGTCAGCAACGAGGTCCTCCTCCTTGTTCCCAGGTGGGGGGCCCCACCGTGGGACTAGTGCCGGTGAGAGCGGCTCCCACGGTGGGTCCTTCCAGAACTGGCACCAACCAGAGTCCACGCTGTCCCCAGGATGACCGGGCCTCCCAAAACCCCAAACCTGAGACAACCCTCCTCCTTTCTCAGGCTTGCCCCTCCCAAGGACAGCCAGGGGACCCTGCGTGTCTAGTGGCAACAGGCACGCAGTGAGACCAGGGGTCTCTGGCTCAGCCCCCAGGGGCCAGGAGGGCGGGGGGACCAGGGAAGCGGCCACCCTGAGAGCAGCCCAGGGGGAGGGGCAGCGCCTACAGTCACCCAATGTCTGAAGGCAACACCAGCCCTGTCGGCAGCCAGGGCCGGGCCTCGCCCCCCCCCCATTCTTCCCCACCCCCCAGGCCCACACAGGGCATCCCTGGTCACTTCCCAGCCCTTCCCCCTGCGGCCTTGCTTCTCTCGCCCATCGCCATAGGGAGGGGGTCCCTTTCACAGCGGAAGTGCACATCACATGCAGGAAAGGCACTGAACTCCCTTCCACGACACACGCACGCACAGGCGACACCGTGGAGGACCCACCATGGGGGCTCGTGATGGCAAGGAAGAGCCTGCGTGCCCGGGCACCCGTCACGGGGTGCGCGTTTAATTCTGGTAAATAGTAATAAAAGTACAGCGTAACTGCGGTTCACTGGGCATAGCTTACAGGACGAGGCGAGAACCACCCAGCACAGTCCCGTACAAGCTGTGCAGGACACAAAGTCGCTTCAAGACCAGGTGGTGAGAAAGGCTCCACTTTGCTTTGGTTTTGGGTGACAGGCTCCAGGACCCCCGCTCAGCCGGCAACAAGAGGGGGTCTGGAGCGAGAGGGAGAGAAGGCGCACAGCCTTCGGAGAAGCTTGTCTTGGTGGCACCGACGGGCACGACATGGGCAGGGCTGTGTGTATAAAAAGATCTGTATAATAAACCAAATAATATTGGAAATAATACCGTCCGTAATACTTCTGTAAGAAGCAGAATGAGGCTACATGTTATTCACATGCGTAGGAGTGTGTAAGAAAAGCCCCCCGTAATTAGGGTGGGAGTGGAATTAGCAAAATACGTACTGAACATGACAAGTTAACTGGCAGAGACATTAATCCGCGAAAGGGCTGTGTCCGCAGCGAGCAGCCTCGTCAGCCACAGAACTGAGGGGGACCCACCAACGTGCACCCTGCACACGCGTGCACGCGCACCCTGTGCCGCAAATACACACACGCTGACCTGATGCCCCCAGGGCAGGCCTGTGCGCCCAGTGCCCAGTGCCGGCTGGCGGGGGCGCGGGCGGTCCCCGACCACGGGTGTTAAGGACACACAGCTCCTTCAGCAGCAGGGAGAGCCAGGCGGTGCCAGTACTGAGAGCCCTCCACACACCCTCAGGTGGCCGGGCATCCCACCTCCCACGGCAGAATGACAAGGGTGCTGCGGCTGGAGGCTGGCGAGTCCTCGCATTCGTGAGGCTGTTGACGCTTTCTGACTTGGTGTCCTGGACCGTGAGTGAGAGCTCTGGCTGGTTCGCAGGAAGCTTCCCCAGACCGCAGGCCTGCGCACCGCGTCACTGCGTCCCGCCTGGGGCAGCGTGCCCAGAGGGCGCAGGGCTCTCGTCCATCTTTGCCTGTCACCTCCAGGAAATGACAAGACCTTCAGACCATCCGTGGGGAAAGCCAGCCACCGGGTGGCCCAGAAAGGTCCATTCAGAATCCCCCCTGCCAGGCTTGGTCCCAGTGGAGCTCGCGTGCCGTGTTTCTGAATCAGGACAGGAGTGTTTTGTCACCTGTGGAAGGAGTCAGGGGCCACCGCCACGCGTGGCAGAGCAGGGGCGTCATAAGCTGTCCCAGGGGAAGGCAGAGCAAGGGAGCCTGGGGCGGCCAGACTAACACTTGAAGTCCCCCCAGTTCTGCAGCCTCGTGTGCAGGGCGGGGTCCGGCTACCTAGATTCCCAGGAAGTGTCGGGTGCCTTGCGGTTGCTCAGTCTGCCGTGAACAGCCACAGCCGCCCCTTCCCTTACAAATTGCATTGATATTCCGATTATACACTGAAGCAGCTCTGGAGCAAACGTCTGAAGAGGCAGAAGGGAGAGCTCCGGCCTGTGAAGTGCACTGTTTAACTCTCTCTGTCAAACCTAAGTCCACGGGAACAGAGGCAGGTGGGCCGAGAGGCCACAGGCTGTATCTCTGATGAGAATGAAGGGCTGGCTTTGGAATAAAAGGGGGGAAATGGAAACACCTCCATCTCTCCCAGATGAGTAGGGATCCGCAGAGGGTGTTCCAGAACTGGATGTGACGGTGGAGTTCCAGTGGCCCCACGGCAGGACCCCAAATGTGCTCGGCTGGACCCCAGAACCATCAAGTCCCAGGCGGGAAGGTCCCCTCCCGGCTCCCAGAGCAGTGCCCGCCAGCCTCCTTCTGGGAGCGCCGGCCACAACCTGAGAACAGGTGGCAATCTGTCTAGAAATGGGGCTTCCCCCGACCTCAGGTGGAGGGATGATGTGAAGGGTCAACTGCCGGGCTATTTGACGTCACAAAAGAAATTCTGGAAGGTCACAATAAACATGTGCCTGGGAGGGAAAGAAGCCTGGAATCTCAAGGTTGTCTCCACGCTCCACGTACAACGGGTCCCCACCGAGAGGGGTTGCTAAGTCACGGTAACAGTGAACCTGCAGGCCCCGGGCCGGAGGCGGGAGCCCGGCCTCACGTCTTCTTCCAGGTGAACGCCTCGTCGGCCAGGACCTGCGCCAGCCTGGCGTTGAAAGGCTCGTAGAAGTCCCGCAGGATCCTCTGTGTGACCGGCCACATGGGCCCCAGGCTCCGGTCCTCGGGACGCCGGGCGTTGGACGCGGGGCTCTTTGTCATCAAGGCCTCTTGCTTCTCACTTAAGGGCCCTGGAAGGCAAAGAAAAGAGCCCCGTGAAGCGGGAGGCACAGGTGCGCTGCAGGAACCCCAGCCATGCTGCGGGCTGAAACGGGCTCCCCTCCCCTGAGAGCGTGCCGGAGGTCAGAACTCTGGGGCCGGGCCGTCGTGGAGCTGCCGGGGGTGGCCGGTGGATGCAGCGTTAAGCAGCTGCAGGCCCCGCCGCCCGCCCCGGCCCTCAGGCTGCTGCCTCCCCAGAGCCTCGCCGCCTGCTTTCCTTCCAGTTGCCCCTCAGGCTCCCCTGTCCATCAGCCTGTCCCTGGACCCTGTGCAGCCTGCCAGGCGCAGTCGTGCTCTTAGATTTCCCGACTCACCAGCCCACCATTGTGTCTGCTTCGGGCTGCGGATGCCCAGGGCCCTGTGGCAGGGCCATAGCTCACCCTGCGTCTTGCTGTGAGGCGATCGCAGGGGTGGGGGAGGAGGGGAGCTGTCTGTGCCCAGAGACCCTCCCAGCTGGACCCCCGCCTGCAGCGAGGGCATCAGCGGGGAAAGGCCCCAGAGCAAGCCAGCAGGGGCTGCCGCCCAAGGCTGCACCTCCACCCCGGCCTCTGGACCATCAGCCCCACGCCAGCTTCACCGCCATGGGTCGGCTGCCAGGCCTCCCTGCCCAGGCGCTCGGGGCCTGGCCACGGCCTCTGGTGTGCAGAACAGAAGGAGAGAACTGGCCTTCTCGTGGTGCCCCCTGCAAGCCCTACGGCCTCTGCAGGACTGTCCCAGCCGTCCCGTCCATCCCCAAGTCTCAGTTCACAGACTCCTTCCTTCCACGCTCCCTTCAGCAACTGCAACCTCGAGTCACCTGAACACACCCTTTGTGACGATGCTGACCTTCCCGCCTCATTCTGCCAGGTATTTGAGCCGTGGCTTCTCCTCTCCCTCCAGGGTACCAGAGGCTCCCAGATGAGGGGCCGTCTGTGCCTCCCCAGGGACCCCTCCCCGCACCACACACAAGGCCCCGCATGCCGTGGGCACCTCACTAACACATGCTGAACGACCTCCCAGCTCAGCCCGCCCCCGCCTGGCTCCCGGCATCTTGTGTGGCTCAGAGAGCGCCCAGCATCCACGGAGCCCTGGCCTGGCGCCACGCGTACCGAGGTTGAGGAACTGGAAGACCCTGTGCATGGTGTACTTGACGTTGGACGCGTGGTCTTCCAGGCGAAGGACGAGGAACTGCTCTTTGTCGAAAACGGTGAGCCAGTCCAGGAGGTACACGGCGTAGAGCCCGACCTGCAGCCTCACCTAGGACCAGAGACGGAGCAGGCGTTACTTCAGGGTTGTCCCCCCACCCCCGCACCGCACGGCGCTTTCCCGAAGCGTCCCAGTGCGTCATTATAAACCAACCCCAAAGAGTGATTGGCCCTAGCAGACAGCTGCCTTCAGACGCCAGACTTCCAACGCCTTCTTCTTGCAAGGATTCCCACTTAGGGTGGCATTTCATCCCCATGACAACCCTGTAGGCGGCTCCACAACACACTTCACAGTGAGGACTGAGATCGCGGAAGAGGCCGATGGAAGAGCCACCAACAGTGCGAATGTTCTTTGCACAATATCCTGGCTGTCTCTGCTCCTCGGCCCAGCACACGACAGCCGTGCAAACCATCTACAAACACCTCGAAGACAGGTCAGGCGAGTGAGCCGCGAACACCTGGGGCCACGCGGACATCAGTGCCCGTGAGCGTGTGTGCACATTTGGATATAAGCACCTACGCAAGGTGGGGGAGGGGAACAGTCCCTGCCCTCCCCCTGGGCCTTCCTTCGTGTCCAACGACAAGCCTGCGTAATGAAGAATTAACCTCACCCAAAGAGAGGTCTGGCCTCTGTCCTCAGCTCCTGGAGGTGCCCTCTAGGCCAGCCGGGTGCCCTGCTTGATGTGAGAGTCTTTGCTCACCTGGGGTATCTGGCCACTGGACAGTCTAACTCTGTGAGCTTTAGCAGGGCCCCTGCCCCACGCGGTATTGGCCTGACCTCCGGGCGGGACCGGAGAGTAACGGCCATCCACGTGGACAGCATGTGCGGGCCCCAGTGAGTACTCTGGACGGCGAAGGCTCCGGTGGGCTCCCCTCGTGGGCAGCACTCTGTGTTATGGTCACACCCAGTGGCTGGGAGGCACTCACGCTGCCCGTGTCTCAGGGGATGACCGGAAGCTCCAAGTTGGGACATCCCCCCAGCCCCCTGCACCGGGTGCTTGTCCCCTTGGCTGCCTGTCATCAGTGTCCTTTCCTTGATGTGAGTCGTAACCATGACTACAGCCCCGGTGGGTGCCATGATTCCTTCCCGTGAATTGCTGAATCTGGGGGTGGTCTGGGGGACCCCCTCCCCTTGGAAATGCTGTCAGAAGTGAGAGCAATCTTGGAGACTGTTCCCTCTAACTTTGAAGCTGGCTGTAAGGTCTTGGCAAAGCTCCAAGAAAGAGCAGCTGTCCACGAGAGGCCCTTCCTCCAGCGCTGGGACCCTGCCCACCCCTCTCCCCAGGTACTGAGCATCCCTGCTTCGTTCCTGCCTCCCCTCTGCCTCCCTCTAGTCTGCCCGCCTTGGCTAGTTCAGTGCGGCTCCCTCGGTTCAGGCCCCCTCGGCACATGCCTGGCATCGTCACCTGACTCCATTCTCATCTCGGAATGCCTGGTCCCAGAGCCAAGCCTCCCTGGTCCCCTTGAGCAGAAATCCAGGGAGTGGCCTGAGCTCCCCGCTCCCCAAGCCCCGCCTCCCCGCTCAGGTCTTAGGCTGACACACTCTGGCATCATATTTCCCTTCCTTCCCAGCTCAACCAGGAGCTCCTCAAGGGCAGGGAGCACGGCCCTTTGCTGGTCCCATCCTGTTCCAGGCCGTGTGCCCTGGCTCATCTGTCTTGCTGGTAGAATCTCTGAACACGGTGGCAACAGCCTGGCAGTGATACGCTTGACACAATACAGGCAGAGCTGCCAGCTTCATCTCCGCGTTCCTTTCTCATTTCATCATTTTTCTAATCGTGTGGGAGGACGTGGAGGAAGAAAAACAGTTAGAGGGTAAGCTGTCCCCAAATTCATTAGCTCCAGCCCCCAGGCTGTGCTGCCTTCCACACCGCCCCGCACACAGACATCAGGCAGGGCCGCAGCTACAGAGAACTGACCGCGGCCTCAGAAATAAAGTGCCTCAGAAATACAGTGCATCACCTCCCAGAAACAGACGTCCTCTTGTTAAGTCATCGGTTTGCAGAGCTTTTCAGTTCTCTCTGGACTGATAAACGTTATTTTTCCAGAGAGCCTGCCTTTGCTACCAGTGAACTTTCTAGGAGGACAGGAGCTAGGTGTCTGTGACAGGACGGGACTGTGTATGGTAGCGGCCGGCCATCCCTGACCTGGCCGCGGGTGACAGGATGTTTCTCTCGCTAGCCTGTCTTGTCAGTGTGAGTTCCAGGGCCCCAGCCGAAGATCCGTTTCCTCCCCACACATCGAAGAGCTCTCGCTCTTTGAGCACCACGACAGCCTGGCAAAGCAGCATTACCACACCCATTTTACGGTGCAGCAGTGAGTCTCAGGGAAGCTAAGGCAACTGTCCAGTCACACGGCTAGTGAACGGCCAGGCTGGGGACTGTGCGCATGCGCGCGCACACACACATACACCCCCCCCGCCACTGTCTGGCTCCAAGGGCCCCTCTTTCCATCCTGCACCACCCGCCCAATTCTGTGGTCACTTGTGCCCTCATTGCAGCATCCTGGCCGAACCACCAACTCCAGCAGAACAGCCGGGAATCCTACCTGCTGCACCTGCCTTCCAGCAGGGCGGCCTTGATAACGAGGAGGCAGGAGGAAAACCTGTTGACCTTGAACCCCACCTACCTGTTGGGGTTCCATGCCCCCACCTCAGGCAGACCTGCCCATGCCTTCCCAGGTCACCTGGTCAGCAGAGCAAAGCTTGTGAACCACACCCCAAGGCAGGGGACATCAGCCTCACTGTAGACGGCTCGCCCACTGCACCGATCCTGCTGAAAGGCACCCAGAACGAGCCAGGGGGCCGCGCAGTGGAAAACCACCCCTTTGCTAAGCCATGCTGAGTTCACCATTAACAGCTTCATTTGCATTTTTAAAAATGCCAGAAATGTATAGCTATGTTCCTAAAGGCAAACAAGAGAAAAGAAAATATTTTTCCTTTGAGGCCCTGTCAAAGAAGTATTGGAAGTGCATGGGTGGGGAATTTTTAAAGCCAACAAAACAACCCACCATTGGAGAGAATGTGAAGACAGCTTGAGAGCTGGGTGTCCGCACGTCTGCCAATCCTAACTGCACGATGTGTTCCTAAAGCTCGCTAAATGGTAATCTTCCTAAAAGCACCCTCCTTCTCTCTCACCCGGAGGAGAGAGCCTTGTCACTGGGCGATCAGCAGGCAAGAAGGCGGGGTGCCAGCTGAGAGGGACCATCGGGTTTTTATACTTTTACGCCCATGCATATTTGTTTTTGATTAGCCACCCGCTCAGAGTCTGGGTGGGGAGGGGGGCCCCCCCCGGGAGTCATTTGCACATTAAAATGCTCCTCTGTGTTTATATGCTAAAATCCCCATCCACAACCATTTGCATAATCACCACAAAGTCGCCCGTTCTGCGGGGCTAGGCTTCCAGGATACGCACAGGCATGGCATTGTTGAGGGTGTTGTTGTAGACGCAGGCGCGCAGCGAATAGTCTAGCATGCAATTTTCAAACAGCTGCAGAGCCTCTCTCACTTTTTCGTGGAAGTCATCTGCAGATTTATTTGAACTTGCAAAGTAGAGATAGTCTGAGTACAACCTGCGAATAAAAGAAACAGATAGTTTTAACCGCCCGCAAATGGGAAATCACACTGTTAGGGTGACATGAGAACCAAGGTGCAGTCACTCGATCTGGTTTTGTTCATCGAAACGCTACCATTTCTCCTCGTTGCCTTGCAGAGAGCCATTTTCCTACTTCCCTTCATGCCCCTCCCTGCCCGCCCCCCATCCCCGGCCACCCCGGCTCCCCTGGACTCCCACAGGTCTACTCAGGCCCCAGACAAACCATCACTGGTTTTTTTCTTTGTTCTTTCCTGCCGCCTCAGGGCACGGTTGCTGTCACAGTAACGGTGAGCTCCGAAACAACCCCGGGTTACCGAAATTATACAACGGCAGAAAGAAGCCATGAATTTTATGCTTTTCCCAGATTCTCCTCCATTGGAGGCAAAGAGAACAAGAACATCTGTCGCTCTCGCAAAATTATGATTCTGCTGAAATCCCGGGCCCTTGCCATAGACGTGCGAACATTAAAAAGAACGTTGTGAAATATGCCTCTCTGGATTGGTAGGGACTGACTCTTTAACATGATGTACAAGCACCGCCCAGGCATGCGCACACCTGTGGGCCTGCATGTTCGTCACACACAGATCTCTTCCTACAGACCCCACCACGTGTGTGAAACGGCGTTGTCACCCAGGAGCTGACAGGCTCTCTCTGACCAAGCTTTACCCGGCTTCCCTGACCCTCCTTCTCAGCTGGGCCTCAACTTGTGGACCCAGAGTTAGCCCAAACCTCCCCCACCCCCACCCCCGCCCCACCCTCCCTGTCTGGCCGGGGTCCTCCTCCTCCCCAGGTGACGCCTGCAGGAAGAACCCTGTTAGGTCCCCAGAGGGACCGTTGTTATCGGTTTCTTTACCCTCCCAGAAAGTTTCTGTGCATACTCAAGCATGTATCTGCATATCTTATATTTTTAAAGACCCAGATGTATCAGATAGGATCAGATAACATAGCTATTATCAAGGACCTTTTCTGATCATATAATTATGGAGAATTTTAAATACCCATAAAAGCAGAGAAGACAGTACCCTGCAGCCTGTCACCCAGTAATTTTCTCCTCTCACAGAACTTAGCAGTTGCGAGTTTCCTTGGCCTTTTCCTCCCAGTTTCTGGTAGCAGAGAGGGTTAAGTCTTTATCCCGGTTTTGGTTTTCAAAAACCTCCACTTGGTTTCTGCCTTGCGCCTTGTCATGCACACGCGCCTCCAAAGGAGGCGCCCCCTGCTGTGCCTGACCCCTCTGCATGCACAGCACCCAGCTGCTGAGGGCAACCGGGCGGATGGGACCGGCCCCTGGTTCCACGGTGCTGGGGTTCGCTCTCCTCTCAGCTCCATGCTCCGTTTCCCCAGCCTCTCCAGCTTGGCTCCTCTTTCCACGGGAGGCGATTCAGCCCCTCTTATCGCTGTCCATACCCACAGGTCTGGGGACGTGGCACGTACGCTGCCCACTGCAGCCAGCACTTCCGTCGTCCCCAGCACCGGGCCACCCCCACTCCGCAGAGGCCGACAGTGCCCCTGCGTGGTCAGCTGCAGATGGTCCTCTCAGGCCCCCTCACTTCCCGTGACAGTCACAGTGGAATACAAAGATCCACTAATAATGAGAACACCAACCGCTTCTTGGGGACCAGATCTCCTTCACCACTGGCCCAGGGCCTGTGCCCACAACAGGGCCCTTCAGGAAGGAGCCACAGCCAATGTCCACAGGGGCCGCCTCCGAGAAGCCGTGAGGCGTTTGCGATCGGCCCACGGACCAGCTCGGATCCGAATGCTCCGGGAGGGGACTGCTTTGTCCGTCTCAGCCTGGTCGGATAAACACCCTAAAAGGACTTGCTTCCAGATGGGTCACTAGTGAGGCTCCGTGACCGGGGCGTGGATTTGCCCCCCAAGCCACGCTCACCGAGCACAGTACCGTGTTGGCATCCCATTCACCTACTCCTGGTGCCCCCAACGTGGGCTGTGCTGTCTTCCCTCTTTGAAACTAAGACATCCATCAATTCTGACACATGACACCTGTCACTGCAGGTCAGTTATAGTTAGTGGGACCTAAAAGGCTGCTGGACAGATGCCAAAGGCGGATGTGCACGGGCCTCACAGCGCAGTTCAGCCGCACGGGCCACGGGTGGGGCTCTGCTGCGTCCCCTTCCTGGCTCGCGCATCTCGTACCAGGCCTATCAACACGGCTCAGCCCAAGAAACGATGTCCATGAAAACATACCAGATGCCTGTAAAACTGCCATCAAAGTCTGTTTTTATTTTTTTATCTTGAGCGAGAGGGGAAGGGAGGGAGACAGAGAGGGAGAGAAGCATCATTGTGTGAGAGAGACATTGGTCGGTTGCCTCTCTCACGCGCCCCCCCCCCCCAACGGGGGACCTAATGCAACGCAGGCATGTGCCCTGACTGGGAATCAAACCGGTGACTCTTTGCTTTGCAGGATGACATTCAACCATCTGAGCCATGCCAGTCAGGACTCAGATCTGTTTTCAATAGGAAATCCAAGTTCGGAGTTCCTACCAAGGACTCCCACAGAACTCTCCAAACTCTTGGGTGGAACAGGAATGCTACCACATACATTACCACCTACAAGCCCCAAAACTTAAGCTTTCCATACTGAGAGTTTATTCTGTGGTAATAGCATTTCTTGTAGACATTTGGCTCATAAATAAAACAAGAACCCCTAAAGCTGCCTCTATTTTAAATATAAAGTAACTTGGTAAAGAATCTGCTGATGCCATACAACTCTTCAGAGATCAAGAAGTAATTTGGGGGAAAAACTGGGACGTGTCCAGGGTTCCAACAGGAACGCCCAGCCCCTGCTCAGCCGAGGCTGCTCATTTGCATCTGTTTAGGGTCCTGTGGAATGAACTCAGGACCCCACCCCCTGTGAGTCAGGTTCACAGCCTTTCAGGACCAGGACAGAATGAGGGAAGACGTTCCCGGCACCTCGGTTCCCCCAGGGACCCTGCATCTGCCCACAGAATGGGCGGTGGGCTTTGGGATTCCCTAAAGCCACCTCATGCTGGGATGCGTGTCTGTGAGGACAAGTCCTTCACTCCCCACTTTATCGGCAAACGTCTGAACAGCAGCTTTATTCACCACAGCAATGTCACCTCACACGTGGATTCTGAAAGTTCCGCAAAAGATACGTCCAAGTCCTCTCCCATGTCCTGTGAAGGGGATTTTCCTTGGGAATAGGGTCTTTGGAGATAGCATTATGTTGCAGGCCTTCAGGTGAGATCATACCCGATTTAGGAGGCCCTAAACCCAATGACTGGTGTCCTCCTAAGAAGGGGAGGGGACACAGACACTGGGGAGAAGACCACGTGACAACAGTGGCAAGGATCAGAGATATGGACCGCCAAGGACAGCTGGAAGCCACCAGAAGCCAGGGAGATGCATGGAACTCTCCCTTGGAGCCTCCAGTGGAGCCGACCTTGCTGACACCTTGATTTGGGACTTCGGTCCTCCAGAACTATGGAAAAATAACTTTCTGTGGTCTTAAGCCACCAAGTTTATGGGGTTTTGTACAGCAGAACCTGGGAAACCCACAGAGATTCCAAACCCAAATCCCTGGAAGACTACAGAGTTGTTCTAGCCAGTACCTCTCCCCCAGCCTGAGCCTCCCGGCAAGAGCCCCCAGTGTGTAGGGGGACAATGGCCATGTGACCAGCTTTCCCACAGGGACACACGAGGAAGGCAAAAGCAAAATACAGGCTCTTGCTTTCAGGGGAGCATGTCTGGGCCCCCTGGTGAATTGGGTTAATGTTTCCTAAGACTGCTTGCTATTAACAATGCCAGGATTTCCCCATAACTGCCCTCCGGGGGGAAGAGTCGGTAATGACCTTGGATGAGTGAAAGCCACTTGATGGGTTAAAACTATTCTGAAAATATTGAGGGCAGCAAACATCTCAAAGATAAGTATTCAAATGAACCTCGAACACCTGGGGCAAGCCACATTTGCTAAAGTTCAAATGTAAAGAGATAAATCTAGACGTCAATGTTTGGTCTTTAAAATCAACTACACAATGATGAAGCAGGAGAAAGAGGCCCACAGGGAAAACACATGAAGGGTTTGGCTGATACGAACTCACAATAAATCATCACAGGGCTACAGCACCCTGATGCAGCCTCAGGATGCATTAGCGGAGGTAAGGCACAGAGAACGTGGGAGGCTGTCTCTCTGCCCCTCCCTGGCAGGTCAGGGCCCCAAAGAACACTCGCTTTTGGTGCTGGGAGCCAAACAGTGCAAGAAAAAGGCCGCTCCAGCTGGTAAACAAGACTCGGTGGGAAGGACGCCTGTCCAGAGCTGGGAGACCTGTGCCATACCCCCGAAAGACAGCCCAGTCAATGAAAGGTTCAGGGAGAAAGACTGGTTAGATTCAAAGGAAGATGCCCCAGCTGGGGCAGTCCAGCACGAAGCGGGTGGCCCCAGCAGCCGGAGCCCCAGGGCAGGAGGGGAGGAGCCCGGGGCAGAGTGAGGCCCCCGGACCCTGACTCCCATCCAGCCCTGAGCTTCCTGCAGAACCACCTCCTTTTCTTAGCCTGAAACCATCCCGAACAGATGGGCGTTACATTTGGCTAAGACTGTTTCCAACAGCAATTCCAAATATAAGTCCAGATACATTCTGGGCCTTCTGTGCTGCGGTTATTTTAGAAGGTTCCTGGGGCGGGGGGTGGGGGGTGCTGAGCCGGTGCACCCGGCCGCGCTCCTGAGCTCCTTCGCTGGGTGCTGCAGGGCCCCAGGAGCCCACCACTCCTGGAGGAGAGGGGGCTGGGCATGTGTGTTGGGGGCGCACCCTAGCCTGGTGCTTCTGGAAGGGACCACGTCTCTCCCCACAGGCACAAAAGAGTAGCCATCAGTAGGGGTTAAAGGCCCCTCCATGTAAAATCTGGATAGTCACCCCAAGGCCACCACTGGAGCCGTTCAACAGCACCGACAAGCGCGGCTCTGAGGCTGAGTGAGCGGAGGCAGGCGTACACACCACCATG